AGCTTAATTTAAAAAGTTTACCATTTCTTCTGATTTAACTTTGGTTTGTTCCCATTCTTCTTGTTGACAACATTAATTTTTCCATTTTCTAATCTGACTCCATCCAACCTGCAAATTATTAACATAAGTAAGTAATAGAATGAGTGATACGGTTCAAACCATTAGGAGTAGTTTCACAAAGTAACAGCACTTCAGTGGGCTCATATTATGAATACAAAAAAAAGGATCAAAATCATTCATTACAAGAAATTAGTTGTTACTTAGAATCGTAGAATCAAAGAACAGTTTTGGCTGGAACAGACCTTCAGGATCATTGAGTCCAACCTTTTCCTAGCCCTACGAACACCAGTAAACCATGTCCTTCAACAAAAATCTACCCTTCTCTTAAAGATCTCCACGGATGGTGACTGCCTGACAATTCTTCCTAACATCCAACCTAAACTTCCCCTGGCACAACTTAAGACCACTTGCCCTCATCCTATCACTCAAGACCAGGAAGCACAGACCAACCCCCATCTCTCTACAACCTCCTTCCAAGTATTTCTAGAGAGCGATAAGGTCTCCCCCCAGTCTCCTCTTCTCCAGGCTAAACAGCCCCAGATCCCTCAGTTGTTCCTTGAAAGCCTTCACTGTATATGTAAAATGTAACTGACAGTCTTTCCACGTTTTAGCTATCTTATTATCTTAGTTGAAAACTACGCTATAGGTAAGGCCAAAATCTAAGACTACAGGGTCAAAAAAATCTAAGAATTATATATGTACAGCAATCAGTCATTAATCCAAGTAAAGACATCGGTTTGGAAGAGATTCATGTTTCAGCACAGGCTTCTTTAACACCCTAATTCATCAAGGAGGCTTGTGAATGGGATAGTAAAGACAAAGGAGCACTGCTGGTGGATTACAAAGCAAATCACTTTCAAAAAGGAAGTGCTTGAACATGAAAATTTTAGCAGCAGCATCGTATCACTCAAATAGAGTGAAAAGCTCATTCCCTCCTTTGAAAGGAAAAGACAAATGCAGGAAAAAACCCAACCCAAATGAGTAATACAGTTCTATAGAGATGTTCGGTCTTGATTTCATTAGCTTCATCACATAACATTAAAAAAACATCAGTTAAACACAAATTTAACTTTGTTTTGTGCTGTTTTATGCTAAGCATGTTCACTGTCTACGGACAAGCTGGCAGACTACAGATCACAGCACAGAAATCCATCAATCCAAAACTCAATTTGACCAGCTGCCTCTAACAAAACAAGTATTGATGTTCTATGACAGTCACTCTGGAAAGTCAGATGATACACATCAGATGTCAAGTCTCTGAGAGCTCACGCCTTACACAATATACAGCAAAGATGTTTTAAATACAAATGTCCAAGAGGTTCTAGGATGCAATAAGAGCCAACAGCACATTTCCTTCACACAGCAGCCTGTGGAAAAATGCTGCTTTAAGAACATAATCATGCTACAGAAATCTGCTTCGAATGTCATTCAGAAAAGTCATACACGCCTTCTCTTAGCGAAGAGCATCAGAACAAACTGATGTTGCTTTAAAGAGCTGGCACTGTGTGTGCTATGAACTTTTACACCTACAAGCAATAAAACAAACAAACAAAAAAGCAAGCATATCAACCCCAACTAGCATTTGACTTGAATAACAACTAAAGTTAGATCAGCTTTCTTAAAAACACTCCACTTGAGAGCTTGCTAGAATAAGTGCATTTCCTTTCACCTACCTTCCACTTAAATTGCTGAGTCCAAACTTCTTTGCAGCACTTTGCAACATTTTTATGAGGTTAACTTCTTCAGCAACAGCTTTGCCTTTTTTAGATTTGCTCTTCTGTTTTTCATTTATAACTTGCACTTGATTATTTCTATAAATCTCAAATGCAGACTTTCCATTGACATTTTCATCAAAACTCATTTTGCTCAGATTAGAAATCAAAGTATCTTGATATTCTTCCGATTTTCCTTTTTGCAGGATTTTTGGTTTAAAACCATGAGTCAAGAGATCACAAGTGTCAGTGTATATGAACTGCAGAAGGTATGCAAAGAGATCCGGATGAACTTTCTCTACTACGTAAAGATCGCATCCAACAGCATCTTCGTCTTTACGGTAGATGTCTGGAGTGTCTAGCTGGTTGTCACTGGAAACAAACAGCTTCTTGAAGAACTCAGAGCGCACAGCCAAGATGTATTTGTGCACGGGGTAAGTTCTTGTGCCAATCTGAAAAGTCACATCATGGATGTTGTCCATTTCATCCGTTTCAAGTAACAGTTTGCCAAAATCTTCTCCAAAACTTGATACTGACACACTCGGTATTTCATAGAGACTAGAAAAAAATGAAAAGCAAAAAAACCACCAAAACTAAAACCTCTACTATTTACAAGCCCCATAAAATTTTACATAGCATGTTTACTGAAGAGTGTGAGGTTGTTTCCATTTGGTTTGTTTGCATTTTTTCTTACACTGCTGGACTATTCAACACTTCATCTTATTCTTTACAAATAGAACTAATAATATGGTATTTAGACAACTAAGCCACATATGCAGGATGTGTCTAGCTTCAGAATATATTATTTTCATTTCATAATGTAGCCAGTAAATATGTATTATCAGAATTATCCTATCTTAATCTCATTTTTCCAACAAGAAAACACAAAAGTATTTGCTCTATTTCATATTACAATCCAAAGCAGTATCAAACAAGAAAAGGTGGTATTTACATATTTATTAAATATTTTGAAAACTGTTACAAGAGCATGAACATGGTTCAGTACTCTACTTGCTCATTTGACTTTAAACACTTTTTTTCCAAATAAAGATCCACTTCTCACTTTTATTTAGAAGTGATTATTGGGTGATTACTGTAGGGGTGAATTTCTACAACATTTAAAGCTCAGCATGTGTTAAGAAACACATTACAGATGCTTGCCTTAAACACTTTAGATAAAATATCAATGCTATGTAATTACGCAAATACATAAACTGAGATCTTTGGGTAACTTCCAACACAGCTGTTCACTAACAAGTGCTATTCTCTTGCAGCATGGATAATCCCATTTACTCTGACTTCTGTATAAGCCAAAAAATTATTCTGAAAAGCAGAATGATTTGATTGCAATCACACACAAAATTACAGTTGATGATATTTTAAATATACCTTGTTTTAGGATCTGACTGTAAAACAGCAAAGTTGCACCCATTAGGATCAGTAGCAATACTAACAGCTCGGTGGACAAAAGTAAGCTTCTGAAGTCGTATTCTTTCATAGACGCTGTTTGTATCATGCTCACAAGACATGTCACACGAAGAATTCTGAAGATTTGATACAAGCTCTGCTGGAAAAAAAAAGATTGGGAAAAAAACACAAAAGGGTCCACCTAATTAAAATGCAACTGACAGAACAAAAAGGCAAGGCTTATGACTGAATAAGGCTAAATTGTGTTGGAGATTGCAGCTCACTGTAAGATGCTTTAAGAATAAGACTTTACATTACACATATAACATTTTTCGTTCACAACTCCTTGTGGAAGTGTTTTGCCGCTTCTTTGTGTAAGGGAAAACATCCCATCTAACATTCAATGCAACCTCTTGCGAAAGGAAAGCTGCGCATCAGTGTACGGCAATGCAAGGTTGTTTTCCTGTCCTATCAATTGCAGCAGATAGAATGTGAAGTCTGAAGGCAATTGCATTGTATCTGCTTAAATTATACCCAAACTAAAAAAATGCTATTGAAAAATATGCAATATTCTACAAATATTGGATCAATTGCAACAGATACAATGTAATTGCCTTCAGACTTCACATTCTATCTGCTTAAATTATACCCAAACTAAAAAAATGCTATTGAAAAATATGCAATATTCTACAAATATTGGACTATTTTTCAAGAACTGGATAACAGAATATGTGCATGCCGTTTGCCACATTCATTAAAACCTTGCAAAAAAACGAGAAACTCTCATTCATCACAAATCAGTGATGAACATCAACTAGACATTCAACTAGTCAAGAGGTCTGGGTTGTGAAGTTGCCTTCAAGATACTAAAACTACAAAAAGAACAGCAATAAGCATAAAGAAGAGACTGCCTACAGGCATATCAACACCAGGATAAAGGGAGTGAAAAGGAGATGCATTTGGGGCCTCTGTAATGAGCCCCTAAATGATGTGATGTGAAGTCTAAAAGAACGTAGCAACAGAGTAAAACTAGTATGCAATTCTGGATTGAGCAACAGAGGAAAAGATTGTGCTGTGAAAAATGCAGAAACGGACTGATAAAACTTAAGATGGAATCTCAGTATCAAAGGAAGTAGAACTGCAACATAAAGCTATAAACTTCAAATATATCCCTGACTGAAAGTAAACTCTTCTCTATCCACAGAGTTTTAAGACTCTTATATGAACAGAGGTAATAGTTTCAATTAAAATCTCACCCTATCGTAGACAGGTGTCTTCCTCACGGAAAAACAATGTCAGGATCTACTCTCAGCAATATGAGTCAAGCTACTAAGGCAGAATTTTTTCTGGACCCTGTATTATGCCCAGATAAGCATCTGGGAAACACAATGTTTCACAGGCTTAGCAGTGCAAGAAAGCTCACGCTCCTCCTTTCGTTCAATGCTGTCTCTTAGGACTTGACATGTAATATGTGAGAAGAGCATTACACTGGACCCTTGTGCTACTATTACTGTTCAGGAGTACTTTTCTTCCTGGAAATCTCCACCTGAAGGTTAACTGAAGGCTGCAAAGTAAGTAAATCTTAGGATCACTGAGGAAAGAGAACACAGAATCATTGAATAGTTTGTGTTGGAAGGGACCTCCAAAGATCATCTAGTCCAACGTGCCTGCAATGAGTAGGGCCATCTTCAATTAGACGTTTGTCATGGATATGCATGTATGGTACTGGTCATCGTACTGTAGTGGTCAATGCCCATCAGTCACAGAGGAAAGAACCAACTCACAACATAATACTGTTAGAAATTGCAAAATTACAATTAAATGTTTACATTGATTTGAAGTACTTAAAAGCCATTAAGAAATCACAGCTAACCTTTCTTTTCTGAGATTTTTTTCCCTTCTTCCAGCCACTCCCCTGTAAAGGCTTCACCATCCTGTGTGACAAACATTATTTCATTCCCATTTAAAGCAACATCAGACATGAAGACTTGCCGGCCATACACCCAGCGACACTGCTTCATGGAGTTGTTAGATGACTTCCAGCAAAACACCTGTAATTTTTCCAGAGAAAGGGGAAATCTTCATATCCAATAAAAGCAGGTATATACTACACAATACTTTTTTAAATTACAAGGATATGCCATCTCAAAGTTCATATAAAAAGAGAAAGACATTCTTCAACGTTACAAACTAAAGTGTTCTGAGCATCTATTACAAAGAACTCACAACTAAAACATAGAAAATCTGTCATGATATCAAGATCCATTTGCCCATGAAGGGCATTTGAAAAACTTCTCTGAATATTCAAACATCTTCACAGAAGTGAGGTACAGGACAGATTTTACTGACATTTCACCAAGGACAGCAAAAGGCTTTGTCAAGTCAAGAGTTATCAAGTCTAAAAACAAGATCAATCTAGTTCTTAATTTACGGATTTGGCCAACTGGTTTGTATATAAATCAGACAGAATTCAAAGCTAACACACAAAAATTTAAACCATTTCCTGTTCATTGTTTGACAAAAATCTCAAGCTTCTCTGTACCAGCCAAGGTTTTGCAATGGAGATCATGAGCCATCACAAGCTTCAAAATATTCAACAAAAATGTGAAGGACTGCGTGCACAGCAGGACCCCAACAAAGTATACCCTAGATGTCTGGAAGAAGCAAGCATGAAGCAACAATGCCACACAAGGTAAAGCCCAGATGTGGCATTAGTGGTGCTGAAGTTGGGCTTTTGTCTTCTTCCATTCTTCATCCAGTGTTCAGCTGTGGGGTCAATCTTGTTTAATATGTTTAAGAGTGATCTGGATGAGGGGATCAAGAGCACCCTCGGTAGGTTTACAGATAACATCAAGTTGGGTGGGAGTGTTGATCTGCCCAGGTCTGTTAATATCTACATAAGCAGAGGACAAAAGAATTTGCGTAACCTATTTCCCTTCCCTTCTCCTGAACCATACAGAATCATAGAATGGTTCGGGTTGGAAGGGACCTCTGGAGGTTTATCTAGTCCAATCCCCTCTCAAGCAGGGCCACTCAGAGCCAGTTGCCTCAGACCATGTCCAGACAGCTTTGAGTATCTCCGAGGATGAAGACTCCACCACAACCAGTGCTCAATCATCCTCACAATGAAAAAGCACTTCCTGACACTCAGACAGAGCCTCCTTTATTCCAGTTTGTGCCCATTGCCTCTGGTTCTGTCACTGGGTATCACTAAAAAGAACCTGGTTCCATCTTTACATCTTCCCTTCAAGTACACATACACATTGGTAAGACTCCCTTCAAGCCTTCTCTTTTCTAGGCTGAACAGTATTCTCTTAAATACAGTACAATCAAGCCAGACCAGGAAGCACTGATTCAGGAAACGGAAGTATGAAGATCCCATCACTCTCATTACTCAAAAATTTATAATGCCTGAAAGCACTGAAGATCCCAGCATTTGCCAGTATTCAGCGTGAAAAAATACATGAAATGTAGGTTGGCACGGTTTCACTGATTAAGGAAGATAAAGTTGTTTCTTACTGCTAAAGCAGTGCCCTAAAGATGTTGAAGGGGCGTGTCCAATACTATAGATGCTAGAGGTTAAACCTGACATGAACAATTTCTGAAATGGAAGTCTATAATCTCTGAGACACTTAATGATGTAATAAACAGACAAGATCATTCCAAAATATAATTCAGACAAACGCAAGGAAAGAATAGGAAATACCCACACTGCTAACTATTTCGACATACAAGCTCAGGTTTTAACATTCTTTAAGAAGCCAGCTTTTAAGTAGCAAAATCTTTTCGTAAACACCACTAGGTGGCACTGAACGTTTAGATGTCCCAGTGAGCACATCTAGAAAAGGCTGGGGTTTTGGAGGGTCCTATAAACCGTTAACTCTGTGAAAGAATAAGGGAAGAAAATACCTTCACAGTATTCCAGTGCTAAGACAACACAGTGTATACACTTAACTATAAATACTAAACCATTCACCAGGTTTAGTTGCAACTTTTCAACAACAAAAGGGACATCTCATCTACAGAACAGCTGCTTTTCAGCAAAGGCTTTAACACCAGAAACAACTTCTGAGATTATTTCTGGAGGGTGTAAAGGTGACTGGGTAGGTGGGGTGAGAGGAGAGAGAGGGGAAAAAACAAAACCAAAACAGACTATATACACTATATAACCACTCATGCACATGAAAACAAAGGAGTTCACACCTTCACTGAAAAGCCATTAGATGTTCACAGATTTTAAAATAAACTACAGTACATTACTTCAGCAGTCTCCCTATTGCTCTATTTAAAAAAAAAAACAAACTATCACTAACAGCTCTACAGAAATCAATTAGGTATTTTCTATGCATGACTTTGTCCTGTTTTATGTTTAAAGTTTGATTAATCAGTATGCAGCCTACTACATAACGATGATTTCTACGGACACAACTTACTCTTCCAGCTTCATCTAGTGCTAGAATGCAAATCTTCTGACCCCCATTTTCTTTAAGATGCTGGGTATCTACTTTATATTCCAAATATCCTCCATTAACAAGAACTTTTTTAAGGTTCAGCTGTCTGAAAAAAAACACAAAAGCTTAAATTAGTATTTCACTGTTGTGTACTTCTGTTGCTTCTATGACAGAATTACCTTTTCCATTTAGAGAAACAGTAAAAAGATATAGTTGAGGTAGTGACACTGAAAATTTACTTTGGTTTAGTTTCTTGACTCTGGTATTACTAACATAACTGATAATAAAATACTATTGCTAGATTGCGCTTTTTGCTTTGCTTTTAAGTATGTTACATTGTATCCACAGGTTCTTCAAAAAATTCCGTAAATGAAAAAAAGAATATGATTTATCTTTGATCTTCAGTATTACAAAAATTATAGTTGTATAATTTCACTTAGTTGTTTGTATAAAAAAACAACTATCCTATCTCAGTAGGCTGTTTCTCCAGTTTTTGGTGGGTTTTGGTTTTTACCTGATCAAAACCATGCACATTATCTCTTTTCAGTTTCTTAGTACAAGAGCACAGTATTAAGCTTCTCCAAGTGCCAGCACCTTCACTTACTTACAACCATGTAGAAAATGAAGGATGAAACAATATGTTATAGCTTGATTATATACATATATGTATACATTACATAAATACTATTAGAATTTGAAGTGAAGCTGAAAAGCTAAGTGGGAGTTGGGCAAAAATGCTAATTACCGCTTCTAATCTGCTACTGCAAATTGCGTAAGAGAGAATGGGATCAAATAGTTTCTGAAATTTACAAGCTATAGGCCCAGTTTTTTCAAACAGATTTTACATCTAGGTTCTAGTATATGGACCAGATGATGTCAAAAGGTCCCCCTTGTTACCTGCATTATCCTTTATAATATACTATATCCATACATTAATCATGAAATTCAGACATCAAATTATTGATTCAAAATCATAACAACATGGAATAGTAGATCTTCAATGTCTCCACCAAGATGCATTTACATAGATTCAGGCTAACAGAGGAACAAAAAATACCAGTTACAATACTTTAAATACTAAATTAATATTTTATAATATAGTAATATATTTATATGTGTAATTATATGTTTAT